TGGGTGACAGAAAGTGCGAATACACAGACACACAGACACAGACACAGACACACACACACACACACATACAGACAGCCTCTTCCCAATATGCGTTTTTGTAATTTGCAGATACGTAAAAACGCATAAAAACTATTCACGACAATAATTATTTAGTAACTAACCAAACCAGAGTACGGTAGCGATGGTCGTAGTAACAACGGTAGCAATGCATATAATAGCCAGCGCAGATAGCGCAAGATGAAAAGTAGTAAAAACGATGACCACAGTGCTTACAACCAGAGAAATAAGCACCGAAACAGCGGTACCATTCAGGATGCGTTCGAGCAAGTCGTATAACGACGTCAGCTGACGTGAGGATAAGATGAGAGGCTGACGATATTCTGCAACGAAGTGTGTTAATCCTCATCCTACATCTATCAGATTGGAGTTCATGGTCAATTTTTCAGTGATTTCTGTTATCGCTAGTGAGAAAGACAGTCCTTCTACGGCTTGTTGATATAATAACAAACTGATGCTGGACATGCCGGGAAGTTGAAGCCTCCATCACTTTGCTACTGAACAACTATGGCAGGGGAAACCCATCGTCACCCATTCTAACGGGTGGTCAATGGCCAAATGGAGTAAGACGACCAAACAACATCAGATCAAAGTGCCGAAACAAACATCCATTCAAACGGCCGAAAGTTCAGAAATAATTGAAACTTTGGGATAACAAAAAACTTAAAATTGTTGCAACAAGGTTTAAGTTATTGCAACTGCAGATGAGGAGAAATATGTATGTTGTATGCTGGATTATTAACACGATACACCTCCAGTATTTGAAAACATTAAGTCTTCTTAGCCCATCATTTAAATAGGCAGTTAAACTTTTTCAGTTCCAAGCGTTTTACGTTTTACTAACTGTAAATGCTTTTTTTTTTACCGAAACCGATAATGCTTGGGAAAGAGCTAAAAACAATTTACGATTTTAAAACATAGGAATACTTCAGTACCAATTTGTCACCAAAACAAATTTCGTGAAAAAATGGGCCTTTCGAGTGATAAGCATCGAGCCAAGCACTTTCACCCACTATAAGTGGCACCACAGACTGCAAATCCTTCAGTCTTTATCCCGGACTGAATTTGAACCAGTTTGTTAAAAAATAGAATGATAATCAAAACATGTTTTACCAGGTCACAACCCTTTTATTTTTTCCTCTTAGGTTATAACAAGTCCCAATGATGGCAAAATTTCGCAATAACACCAGATACACTTAGATTACTCAGGCAGTGCGAACCGTCGACAATGCCAGAACGAGACGACACGCTGATTGCAACTATACCAAGTGCCTAGCAGCAACTCTATGTACCGGTTTCACAAAAAAGCTTTACCCGAAATGGCGGAACTCTGTACCATACGGCGTGCCTCGGCTAGAAAATCAAAAAATGGCTTCATTTCGTTGAAAACTGTTGAAAAATTGTATTTGCTTTGTGCTACCAAATAATAAGCCAACAATATGCCATTTTTGTCAAAAATTGGCCCATCACTATTCGTTGCAGAGAGTTCGTTGAAGACTGGTAGTGACTCAGTTTGACCATAAAGCAAGAAGCAACGTGTCAACATATCGCCGGAAGGCTGTCGATTCTGCATTTGAAGCTCCTTGAAATAAAAATTAGAAGTGCGGGAAAGTGAAGTCATGGGTTGTCAATTTCTCCTAGAAATAAAACTCGCTTGGTCTCAAAGCTATCATAATGACGCATGAACCCATATGGCGCCCTAAAGTCTCAAAAACAATTTTAAGTCTTTATAAAAAATGAAGTTTAGGAATGCAATAAAGGCTCTTTATGCTTTTAATTCAAAATTTAAGGGAACAACAGAAGTGACAGACCGTAAATGTTTCGTTTCGTCTCTCACTCAACAGTTTGCATCCTCGAGAGGTTGTATTCAGCTGTGTCCATTTGATAAATTTGTCAAGCCATAAGTTAGGCTTCACGCCCGGACTTGATTGATAACTAAGACGTTTCAGCAGGGTCTAAAGTTGAAAATTTACTTGAATAAAAATGACTGGCCAGCGCATCGACACTGGTGCAAAGATACGTTTTTTGCACAGTTGCCTGCAGGTTTTTGTCGCTAATGGCGCTGCTTTTTCAGGCAGATGCTTCTAGTTCTCTAAAAGAATTGAGACTGGCCACTACGACTATGAAAAACATCCCCTTAAAATTTCAGCTTTCTAGATTCTCCGGTCTCCGAGTTAGCATTTACCTGCCAAAAATTTTCATGGGCCCATATATATGAACCGCGTACATCTGGGAGCTGGGTTTGAACTCTTTAATTCCTATCTGGGCGGAGAACATCCCCTTCAAATCCTAATTTTTCAGTTTACCGACTACCAACTTACCTGTAAAAAATTTTCATGGGCTTGTATATGGGAACCACACACACTTGGGGGTTGGGTTTGAGTTCATTAAGACGTAGCTGGACAGGGAACTTCCCCTTGAGACCCTAGCTTTCTTAGGTCCCCGAGTTAGCACGTTAACCATCAGAAACTTTTACATGGGCAAGGGAGTCCATTTTGGGAATAAAGGCTCGTACATGCACGCAGATTAAGTTCCCAAAGTTTCAGTCTTGTAGCTTTTGTAGTTCTCGAGATGAAAAACCGGTACAGGCGCACACATAGACAAAAGCACACACACACATTCACGCATACACACAACACACACAGACAACCCCTCGATAACATGCTTTTTTTGCATTGCATAGGTGCAAAAAACGCATAAAAACTGCTGCTCAAATGCTCATAAAATTTGAAATTCTCAAGAAGCCATCAATAACGTTCGTTACTTCATGAACAAACGAATACCTGGAATTCCATAAGATTGCTGGCAAGAACATCAGTGAATTTTCCATCCACATCCAGCAATCCAGTATCATTCGGAATCAGAGCACTTGCAGTTCTAAAGATATAAACGCAGGAAGTGCTCCCGCAAAGTTTTTTTCAACAAAACTTATCTACCTCTCGCTAAAATTGGAGACATCTAACAGATTAATTTCTTTTCTCGAGAAGCACAACAAAAATTTTGACGGGAGGACCAATAATTGTTTTTTCTTTGGTGAGAGAATCCAGCAATTTTCGGTTCGAAAAGCAGGTAAGTCTAATAAAGAGCCTTTTTATCTCTTTATTAGACTTACCTGCGTTTCAAAATGAAGATCTTGGTAAGAGAACCGCCGATAAAATTTATGAGTGACAGATAAATTTGAAGCAAACCAAGAAAAAGTGTTGAAGCCCAGCTAATTTTCTGACGAAAACAAAACTTATCAGACGCGATTTAAAAAAAAAAAAAATCCATACAAACCCGTTATCTGGTCACATTATTGTTCCAGCCGAACTAATCTAAACTGTTCAGAAAAGAGGTATACTGGTAAAGAGAATTTTGATCAGATGTTAAGTTCTCAAAAAGCAACGGAAGATTTAATGGAAATAAGGCGTTTAACAAACTGCTTTAGAAATAATCCGAGAAAGATCTACTAACGTTGTTGGTCTGATGCCCCAGATCGCGACAACACTCATTTTCAGTCGTTGACCGTTCGAAAAATCAAATAGCGTCGCGGCATTCTCATCAAACCATTCGTAGGGATGACTGGTGCGCAAGAACTGTAACGTTGATGGCTTCGTTTTTTAGTGTTTGGAAAACAAGTAAGGTATGAGGGAAGACGGACTGAATTGTTGCAGTGTTAGTAAGACTTGCCAGATTGATGCAGTGGATAAAACGACCCAGCTATTTTTGAGATGAGGAAATGAGTAACGTCTGGAATTTAATGGTTGATGAGATTTAAAGATTTTAATAAATTACTAAAGCCCACACCTGTTTGTACGTTCCTGCCTATGTTAGTAATTGAATCTGGAAAGTACGAAATCAGGAAAGTGAAAACATGTAATCTTAATCCACCATAATTTAAAAATCTCCCAGTCCTTATCAACAAGCCTCAAGTCCCAATACAAGGTAATTCTATCAATGTAAAACAGGACGGAAATGAATAACAGATCGCTCTCCCTGTTTCCAGATACATTTCCTATCAGATTTGATGACAAATTGACTGCGTTGATAAAGACAAGCGCTGAATAAAAATAAGAGACAAAAACTTCGAAAATAATACTGATGTGGCTTTTTCAGCCAATTTGATAATGAATTATTGGCAATAATCATTGTTTACAACAAAAAAATAAATTCAAGCATTAACTAAATAGTTAATAAAGCAACCAAAATCGAAGCCGCTATTAACAAATTTAACAATAAAACCTAAATGGGTTTCGAGACTAATACCTCTCCTGCAGTCATTTTTGTTAAATGAATTGGAATAAACCGACTCAGAGCTAATAGCTTAAGTTCTCCGAAAAACTCTTTGCAAAATCATTTCAATTTTTGCCTAACATAGCAAACAGAAACTTGAACCTGCATCGAATTTTTCTCTGGCAAGCGGATACCCGGTTGTTTGACGATGGCATAGACAGATGAGGCAAATGCAGCCAGCAGCAGGAAAATTAGGGGAATTCGAGCAAAATGAACAATCCTTGGTACTAGCTTTTCGAAGATGCGCTCCGAAGTGCTTGATACTCTTCGCCAGAAGTGAGAAAGCCATAACGAATTGAGTCTTGAAATGGAAGGCTTGGATTTACTCCTTCCATCGGTAACAACAATTGCTGCTGGTAGTATTGTTATTACCAAAATATAGTTTATGAGCATCATCGTACCAGCGTAAATTCCAAAACACCTGAAATTCGGTCATGGCGAAAAGGAAGAAAATTGGATTGGTGTGGAAAAGTTTGGATTGATGTATTTGCGTACATATTCGGATATCCTTTCTGACTTTTCAACCCAGCAACCAGGAAAACTAGAAAATTGACATATTCGAAGCCTGGTTCCAATGCCAGACGCAAAACTAAACAGAAAAACATGCTCGTGTCGATTAACCGGTGTTGAGATCAAAGATCAAAAAATATTCTTATTAGTATTCGAATGTTTTTCAACTAAAAGTATTCAAATGTTTTTTGTCACTTCATTGGGAGTCCTTGATCAGGTCTTATTAAGATGCCGGAAAGCCTACGTCTCAATGTGTATTATTTATGACTTGTTGGCTCAGTTAAGTTTCGCTTTTAGCTCTTCATTTTACTTATTGGATGGACAAGGCTGTCAACAGCTGTTCGTTTTCTTTCGTGATTTGGAAATTCCAGCGGTGCCATTTTCTTCGCCATATGCGATTTATGACTAGTCTATCCAGTCCGTTGTCTCTTTCGCATTTTGTTTACGAGTTGAACAAAACGTACTACAGACGTCCTTTTTCCGTTTTTTACATGAGGCTGAAATTTGAACAATTCTTGTACTGTTGCGTTCGTTAGCGCCTTTAGATGAATTGTTATGCGGTCTTGCATAATATGCAAAAACACATATTGTGACGACCCCGGTGTGCGAGTGTGTGTGTATGTGTGTGTGTGTGTGTGTGTGTGCGTCTGTCCGGGTATTTCAACTCGGCACCCAA